TTGGACAGGTCTCTCCAGATAAGATCTTCCCGCTCGCAGTTTAGCCCCTCTGACAACTCCGTCTCGTCCGGTAATCAGTTCTTCGACTATTCCTAGCTTCCACAGTCCACGATTCTTTTCTTCGCCTTTAATGATGACAACATCTCCCTTAGCTAGGGCCAACCTTACTTCCTTTGTGCTTTAAATTGTGCGGCTCACGCAAGCCGCGCAGGTATTCTGAAGACCACCTCCCCCATAGTACGTCTTTACATTTCTTCAGGTACCGTGCACGCTTTCTCAGGTCTTGGTTCTCCAACTGATGGCTCTGTGTTTCAGGCAATAGATTCGGGCGGCCAAACTGCAACAGGTTGGGGGTCAATATGGGTAATTGAATGTCCTCTTCAACGTAGCTCAGTGGGCGGTTATTCATGGTAACTTCAACGTCCAGAAGAACATCCTGTAGCTCGCTCCAGATAAGCATACCGTTTCCCACTGTCTTGTTAAAGGCTCTTTTGACAAGACCAACCATCCTCTCAAATTGACCTCCCCACCAGGGTGCTCTGGACAGGTTGAACTGCCACTTGACGTCGACTTTGGCTAGGAAGTTATGCAGGCGCTCATCTTTCATCACGCTTCTCAGCCACTCGCTGCTGCCACGAACGATTTACCGTTATCGGAATAGATTTTCTCTGGACGGCCCTTTCTGGCGATCAGGCGCTTAAGGGTGCTGATGAACTCGTTAGTCTCCAAGGTTTTGGTAAGCTCTAGGTAAAGTGCTCGTGTCAGGCTACAGGCGTACAGGACAATATAGGCTTTCCCTTCTCTCTTTTTGCTTGTGCGGTACTTGATGGGACCGGCGTAGTCAACACCAACTACTTGAAATGGTGAATTTCCTTCAGTGCGGTCACGAGGTAAATTTCCTTGAGGTGGATTGGCGAACGCAGCGATCTGAAACCGTTTGCATCCGTAACATTGCTTGATTACTCGTTTAATAAGCTTGCGCAACCTTGGTATCCAATGGGACTCTCGCACTTTGGCCATGGTTAGTCCTACTCCCCCATGAAGAGTAATCTCATGAGCGTGTTGTACGAACTTCAGGGTGTAGAGAGCACTATCAGGGAGATAGACGGGATAGTTTCCCTGGATTCTTCCACGGCACTCGAGAACCTCCTTTCGGTTTGGCTGCAGGTTAAGTCTTAACTGGTCTTCCTGGAATTGATCAGATCCCTTCCACTGTTTTTGAGTC